ATGTAGTTAATGCCCTTGTTTATGTTTCCATTTCCATCTTTCTCTATTATACTCTAGCAATGACGCATTGTGTATGCTTTGAAAGTGGATTCTATGGAGATACATGCTGTTGGATAAGGTTTCTTTTATCATTGATTTGCATATTGGAATATGTTACTCTTCTGTTAAGTTTAAGTTTGCTCTTGGTTTGATGGGTATTGTAAGTTCTGATCCTGATAATTCTACATAAACCTTCTAAAATTGCCACAACCAGAAATACTTCCTTTTGATCAGCAAAAATATATCCTTTTTTTTTTCATTTTCTGTTTAGTTAGCATGATTTTTTTGGATCATTCATATCTTCATTATTGTTTCACCTACGTATGTCCCATACTAGTAAGAAACTGTACAAGTTGTGTACCGCTCCGACATTGTTCCCACAGAGGTTCTAGAACTCTGGTGGCAGTAGGACTTGCCCCAAGATGACAATAACCTGTTACTCTCCAGTTACAAACTTCAGTTCCTTACTCTTTCACACTCAATGCACCCTTTAAAGTTAAATTTTATTAGAGAGACTTTTAAGCAAAAAAGCCAAGGGAACTTAATCTCTAAAGGAATTAGCCTTCTGACACCTTTAGATTTTAGAAGGTTTTGTTTTAAAGTCCTTCTCTGTATAACTTCCAGTAAGCTGCAATAACAGTGCTTTATTCTCTTTTTAAAGATAAAGAATATATAGCATTGAAACTAAGCTTAGTAGAAAACTGCAGGCTGGTGACCCACAAAGAAATGTAAGCAGAAGAGATGGCACATCTGCATTCCTGATTCTTTCCATAAACCGCACTATTGTTTTAGCTACTGTTTTGGCACACTTTCTTCTGGCTGAGCCAGAGTTTAGACCATGGCTAATCTGGAGTCATAACTTAATGAGAGCAGAACATGAAGAGATTTTACTCTTGCAGCACAGTTGTGGCAGATGAATATTTATCTTCAGCTAAACCCAGGGGCAGGACTAGGAACTTTTCTACTAAACTTTCTCAGTAGCCACAGTGGAAACCACAGATTTACCATTTTTTTCCACGTTTTCTACTGCTGAATGTGCGCATTCAACCAATCCATTGTCTTGAATGAAGCAAGTGGTTCTATTCGTGACAATTTGACTGGAACTTATTGGATGAGGTAGGAAAAGAGCAAGTGTGTATCCATGTTTTGTTTTGCTTTTCTAGTCTATTTAAAATCTCAGTTTGACAGCCTTGACTGTCAGTACCCTGCTGCCTTTATGCCTAAATGCATTCAGCTGAGCTATTGTGTTCATTTATCACATTCTGGTACAGTTTGTTCAGGAGATGGAGCTCACACAGGGTCCTGTACAACATTGATAATTGACTTGTGTGGGAAACAAGGAATTCAGGAGATGTATTCCATGAGTGCGAAGTGTTATACAAGTCAATATAACAAAGTTTCCTCCAGTCAGTCACAAGAGCCTGTGTATTTGAAGGCTGGAAGCTTGAAATGGAAACTGGAAGCAATCAATCAGAAGATAATTTTTCTCACCAACAGGAATGGTCATAAAAATATATGGTTTGCAAGAGTCCTGTCATGAAGAAGTGGAAAAGAAAGTGGGACCTTAGGGCTATGTTCCTGTGAAGTTAAGGTGTAAGAGTCCAAGTCTTAATCTGTATTCTGTGTGCACTGTTAATCCTCCTCTTTGTAACTGATGCCACTTCTGGGTGTGTTATGATCCATTTTCCTAGAAAAGTTTGTACATCTTACAGTCCTTAATTTTGCTTGTATATAAAGCTGGCGAATTCAACAGAATTAATTATTAAGACATTGTAAGGCTTGTATCTAAGATCTTGCTGGACTCCTGAAAATGTAAGTGAAGTTCCAATTCCATTCAGTCATTTTCATCATGTTAAGAAGTGACAGTGTGACTTTATTTACCCTTGCAGATGAGGACATAGTCTGCATGGCCTTTAAGTATTGTATGTTCTAGCTATAAATATGGTGCAGGCATCAACAGAAATACTGTAATTTAGGAGGGTTTTCCAGTATATAATTTTCTCAAATCCTTAACCTGTGTCAGTAAAAATAGCTCTATTTTTTCTTGATGTATGTAGCTGAGAATAGAAACAGGAAAAGCCATAACATGTACTTCCTTGAATGTTACCTGTTTGTAGAAGGGAGAGACTCATGTCTTGTTGATCATAGGTATTATGCAGTTGAGGCAATTTTACTTATGTCTTTGAAGTAAAGGCACAAAATTTCATTTACTTCGTTTTGGTTTTAAACAATTATTTGATTTTTAATAAAATAGAAAACAAAGTTCAAGTTTGAAAGCTGGAACATTCATAGATTTAAAAAGTTATAAATATAGTACTGTTCTTGAATTTTTCATTCTGTTTATTTTGGATCGATGTTATGACAGTTTGCAATTTCATGACTGTGTGCTGTTTTTAACAAAGATTTATGACATATGAAAATTGTTTGATGAATGATGTAAAAATGTGTAAAACTCAAATCAAGGTCAATCAAAGCGCTTCGGGATTTAGGCCAAAGCTATCAAATACTGAATACCATACCAAACAAAATCAGGCACAATAGTCAAAATAATTTGTTTCAATATTTTCTGAAAAAGGACAGTATGATTTTTTTCCATTTGCTGCAACATTTAATTTCAAAATTTGTTTCAATTTTTTAAAAATTATTTAAAGTTCCATTAAATAAAACATGTTGGCTAAAAAAGAGAAAAAAAACCTTTCCTGTTTCAGTCTTTCCAATCAAACATCAGTTATTTTAGGTTGGCAAGAATATTTCTAAATGCTTTGGCAGGGGTGGGAGGTGAGGAGTGTAAGTCACCCGACTTAAGACATCTCTTATTTACATGTATATGTTCAGGCCTTGTTCAATGTCCAAAGTGTGAAATGAGGCAATGGTATGGGATGAGCAAAACAGAAATTCATAATATTCATGTATTAGTTACTGCCTGATGTGGATGCTTGGCAGCATATAATATAAAGCACATAATTTGAACCATTAAGCCCAAGAAATACAAATTGCTTTGGCCTTGAGTGGCTGTGTCTGTCTGAGCCATAAATTAAGAAGTTAAGATGCTGGAAAGCTACAAAATCCTAATGTGTAGGAGGAAGCATCTGGCACAATGTGTCTATCTGTACCTGAATACTTTTTCCAAATTTGAGTGTAAATTTTGTTCCAAATGTTATCATGGAATAATAGAATGGTTTGGGTTGGGAGGGACCTTTAAAAGTCATCTAGTCCAACCCCGCAGCCTCTTCAACTAGATCAGGCTGCTCGGAGCCCCGTCCAATCTGACCTTGAAGGTTTCCAGGGATGGGCTTCTACCACCTCTCTGGGCAACCTGTGCCAGCATTTCACCGTCTGAATTGTAAAATATCTAGTCTGAAATTCTTTATATCTTTATATCTAGTCTGAAATTCTGATATTCACAGTTGCGATACTGCAAAAATATTTGCAAAGAACTTCACATGAAGAGTCCAGTAACATCATGTAGTTCTTTGGCCAGGGATCATTTCACCAATCATAAATCATAAACACCTGGATAATATCTACATTTTAAGTGCCTTATAGGGAAATTTTCTTAAATAAACGATCGTATTTCCCAGATAGTGAAGAGAGGTAGAAATGTGCATGTGATCTCTCTCTGGAAAGTTTTCTAGGCCAAATAGGAAACATTGGCATTAGACCCTTAAAAATCAGGAAAGAGTACTTACTTTGAAAGCAGTGAATCATACCCGCAACTTTTGTTTTTATTTTTCTCACAAAGGTTGATGAGGCTGACTAATCGTAGCAGTCATTTCATGCCCCTACATCGTTTCAGTTTTGACAAAGAACAGACATTATGAATATAGAAGCAGCATGCAGCAGAACAGGCACATGCTTAGAGCTGTTCCTACTTTCTCAGAGCAAGGTTATATCTGCACAATGTTGTATGCACAAACGTGAATTCAGTTCAAGGTACCTACTCTAATGAGGAAACACATTGCGAAACTGCTCAGCTGGGTAAATATTAAGCTGTGGTTAGTCTAACACTGAGCCCTGCAGTACCACACTTTCTGTAAAGCAAGTGCAGGGCTAATTCAGGTATATCTGTACTGAACTAATCACACACAGCACGACCAGCTGGCCAAAAGAGGTGATTATCCCACTGAGTTCAGCGTTGGTGCGGCCTCACCTTGAGCACGGTGTGCAGTTCTGGGCCCCGTGATTGAAGAAGGACCCGAAGGTCCTTGAGCGTGTCCAGAGGAGAGCAACAAAGCTGGTGAAAGGGCTGGAAAGAATGTCCTGTAAGGAGCGGCTGAGGACTTTGGGCTTGTCTAGTTTGGAGCAAAGAAGGCTGAGGGGCGACCTCATCGGTCTCTGCAGCTTCCTGAGGAGGGGACGTGGAGAGGGAGGTGCTGATCTCTTCTCCCTGAGATCCCGTGACAGGACACATGGGAATGGTTCAGAGCTGCACCAGGGGAGGTTTAGGCTGGACATGAGGAAGCATGTCTTTACCCAGAGGGTGGTCAAACACTGGAACAGGCTTCCTAGAGAGGTGGTCAGTGCCCCAAGCCTGTCAGTGTTTACGAGGCATTTGGGCAATGCCCTTAACAACATGCTTTAACCTTTGGTCAGCCCTGAAGTCATCAGGCAGTTGGACTAGATGATCATTGTAGGTCCCGTCCAACTGAAACAGTCTCCTATTCTATTCAACTACAGCTATAGGGTTGGCAGATCCACATGCCGTTTGTCAGACTGCGATACTAACACTTCTATACTGCACAAAACAGAGCGTGACCCGTCTTTCAAATCTGGCTTCCTACAGGTATAGTCATCTACATACATGCACCTGAGAAGAATTTAAATCTTGCCTCATTGTACATAAGGAACTGGAAGAAAAGTTAATTGTTCATTAAAAATGCTGGGTTTCATTTTAACAGGATGTTAGTCTTACTTACTTGTGTAATGTGTCTCATTCTGTCCCCTGACATTTTTCCTGACAGACCTTTTGCAGTGGCCACAAATCAGCAAGTGCAGATCACCTGAACTGGAGACATTTTCATGTTATTGGACTGACGGAAATTTTTATAACCTCACTGCTCCAGGAACAATACAACTATTGTACATGAAAAGGTAATAACATGGAAGGAACAAAATAAAGAGGAAAAGAGAAAGGTTACATATTTTGCTATGCCTGTTAGCTCATTGCTGTTATTTTTTTGCTATGATATAAGCCATACTGTTTTTAAGAGCATAAAACTGTTGTGTCTATTTTTCAATGTCAAAATTTGTTGTTAATCAATAAGCGATTTGCAGCAACAAGCATTACTTGGCAGATAATTAAGAACATGTTCTTATTAAATTTAGATCCAGGTTGCAGACTCCAAAACTGAGCACTGTATGGCTTGGGAAAGGAGTTTTTAATAGGAAACTTCAGTTTATTCCTTATCAACCTAACTTGCAACTGTGAGATTTGTTATATCTGTGCACAGATGTGGAATTTGGATACAAGACCCTTTCAAATTTTTATTAAAGTTTTATAAAGCTGCCATTGATCAGTTGCTAGATTAAAGTCTGAATGCATAGGTCCAGGTGAAAAGGCTTCTCTGAGGCTGGGGATTACATTTCATTGAGCCCTCTTCAAGTGTGATTCCCATTCCACTTAAGCTTTTGTCATTTTCAGTGTATTACAAGGATTAGCCTAAAAGAGGACATAGACATTACAAGTAATGGCTGTTTGTTCACAGGAATAGGAGGATGTGAGTTTCTGTTCTATCTAATGAAGTCTGGGTTTTAACCTTTTTGATCCACAAACACTTTCTACTGGTGACGGTACATTTGCTTAGCAAACTTAAGCCTAATTGCAAGGCTGGCTTGCTTACTCTTCTGAGACCTCTCAGAAATATAGGGATCCAAGTTAAAGCCACTGTTAAAGTATAACTATTTAGCTGACAGTGGCATGTACTATGAGTGCACAGACTTTAAAAATTAATTAAACTCTACAATAAAGCAGTACCACATACACTGAGTATATCACATATTTCATCTTTGTCCTAGAAATCAGAATACTGCAATAAAAGATGTGAATTGAACATCCACATTAAAAATACTTCTGTTTAAATGTGCAAGCAACATTTAAGGCTCAGGACTGAATTTTATCATCTAACCCAGTCTCCTACTTAATACAAGCCATAGTATCTAAGCGCATACACCTTTGTCAAGTCTTGACTCTGGCAGAGCTACTTTTCCTTTAGAAAAGCATCTGGTCTCATTAGCTAAGCATGAGACCCATGCTCAGTGGCAGAAATGCTTCTTACTCAATTTATGTAGCATCTGCCTTTTTACTTCTTAAGCACCCACTCCAGTATTGAAGGCTGCACTTCATGTAGTTGGTTTAGCTTAATCCTCCTTCTGTACAGCTTCAATGGGTCTTGGTAAGAAAAGCCATTTATAGTATATTTTTAACAAACTAAGAGTGTAATTTTTGAAAAGATGCCTGTTTGGTCTATATTTGGGCTGAGAGTATTGAGATAAAGGACAGCAACAGCAAATCTGTTCACTATGTGATTTGTTTTTCTAAAGTGACTTCAGAAATACTAAATAAATGTCTGTCACTTTTCCTGTAGACTCTTTCTAACAATTTGGTCATTCCCATTTTGCTTTAACAGAAGACTTCTTTGATTTTCAACCTGCTGAGTAGTTTCAGCTTGGCTGTATGAAAATGACCATACACAAGTTACCAATGTTTCTCAGCCTGAGTTCGTGCCACTCTCTATAACTTCCTGTTTGTCTTTTTTAAGGGATTAAATTAATGTGGTATTTCCTGCAATTCTATTATTGACAAAGAACATTTATGAGTTTTTGAACAAAATCCGAATGGAAAAAACATAAGAGGTTTCTTGTTAGTAGTTCCAAGCCTGTGTTTTAGAAGTTCTGTATCCTAAGGAATTTATCCCTTCCTCACTCACAGTGCTATATGTGCCAGACCTCCTGCATCATCCCACCTTGGGCACCTTCCCGTGGGAGCGATCAGTGCTCCAGTGCCTACACCCTAGTTCAGCTCCCCAGGGCAATGCAGTCCCCTGTCCGTGGCGGTGCAGGTGGTGCAGTACTGGCCTGCTGCAAGGACTGGCTTTCACTGTTTCAGACCTCATTATGTAGATGGGCATCTTACTGCAATTTAACTTTGCCTGAACAACAGTTGCTTAAATGCATATGAAATTTAACTAAGTTTGTGCTTGGTGGTAGTTGTCAGCACCTACCAGCATAGCGAGATGGGCTCTCTGACTGTTCTTTTGGAAGCAGCCCCCAAAGCATAGAAATGCTACTAACAGTATGTGAGAACCTAAACTCCTTTATTCAGGTTGCTTGGATAGTAGTTTGGTTTGTAGTAGCAGTTTGATACTGCTTACTAGTAGTAAGTATCAGACTAGTAGTAGTTTGATACTACTTAGATAGTAGTTTGGATAGTAGTTTCATTTGGTAAATCACAATCACTATTGACATGTTTTGCTCACTTCCGTAAAAGTTATGATTCATCAACAACGTGTCTTGTAGCATCTATGATTTCTTCTTTGTAAGATCCATAAATCTCTCTCTCATGTATATTACATTATTGTTGTCATTCTAGGAATGATGAAGACTGGAAAGAATGCCCTGATTATATCACTGCAGGAGAAAATAGCTGTTATTTCAACACGTCCTACACCTCTATTTGGATACCGTATTGTGTTAAGCTTGCCAATAAAGATGAAGTATTTGATGAAAAATGTTTCAGCGTTGATGAAATAGGTATGCTTCTATTATGCACTTTACCTCTATATTTTTATACAATAATAGGTATGATGCTATAAGCTTTTGTGTTACTCATACTGTATTTAAATTTTCCCTTGCGGACAGGTCAGTTTCTAAAAAATAGGATATATAGGAAGGGATTTGGTTTTCTAACATGTAATCTGATCCACAGTAGAAAGCACTGCCCAGATTGGAAGAAAGCTAAAAGAATAAAATCCAATCTGTGATTTCTCTTTCTGAATACCGGTGGTCTCTCAAATACGAGCAGATGAGCTTGCCTTTACTGTCACTCTGAGCCCTTTCTAATGAATGCTACGTACCCTTGTTCAGTGTGAGCAAGGATGGCATTAAAATCCTGGTTCTGCGAAGTTCTGGAACCAAATGGGTTTTTCTTCCCAAATCAGTACTAATCTACAGAACCAGGATGTTTAGCATTTCTAAGCTGGAATTTATATTTATCGCAAAATGAGTTGTGACTGTCTGGGACTTTGCAGATGTTATTGCTTGTTCAGACCAGTGGTATATGTACATGCAATTCATTTATTCCTGCAAGTGTCTAGAATACCCACTGCTCTCTTTTCTTTAGCTAAGCAAAATTAGATTAACTTTTCAGATACCATAGTTTTTCAATGTACTTCTGTATTAGTTTCAAATTTCTGTGCTACTCCAGTTATTACTTTTATTTCTAGTGAGAACTCTAAATTTTAATGGAGAATTGTTCATGTCTCATTGTTTTAGAAGCTGCTATTGGGAAATGTAGTGTAATGGGTAATACATCCTTAGTCTTCTTTGTTAGTCAGAGATTTATGCAGAGCGTGTCTACCATCAATGGTAGGGTGCCTTCTTGTTACCAAACTTGTAGTGACTTTGTCATTGACTCATAAGTTTAGATTTTAATCAGCAAACATGTGGTTAATATGCTTTTTTAGTCCTGAAATAATTTAACAGTGTGTGGTAAGAATGATCATTTCATATTGAAAACTGGCTGTTTTATTCCAAATACTCTGTTTAAACAGTACTACCTGACCCCCCTGTCCACCTTAACTGGACTCTGCTAAATACTAGTCAGACTGGGATCCATGGGGATATCCAAGTAAGATGGGATCCACCACCAACAGCAGATGTTCAGAAGGGATGGATTACACTGGAGTATGAATTGCAGTACAAAGAAGTTAATGAGACAAAATGGAAGGAGGTATGAAGCAAATTTATTATACACTAGTCATAGCACAGTGCAGGCTTGTTCTGTCCCTAACACTTTTGTACTACTATGGAAAACAATGGGTTTGTAATCACTAATTAGATGACACCATAATTCTTACACAATATACTTATATTATCCTGATGTTTTCTGGCAAACATTGTTGGCATACAGGGTAATAACAAACCCCTAAATCCCTGTGTGAGATTAGAAAGTACAGCGAGAGTCAGAAATATACAAGTTTTTTCAACAGTAAAACATTTCTCCATTGTTTTGCTAAACCTCAGCTATTTGAAACAGTGCATGGTAGTTTTAGTACTTGGCACAGGAATAATTTGCTTGAAAATTTTTCCATGTCAGTCCAGATTCTTCAAGGTACCTGTAAAGTTCCAATATTTGTAATTACCATTTCACAGATAAACAAAGAGAAAGAAAAGCTTTGAGTTGTAATTTAAGAGTTGATACAATAAGCAAATAAAAATAATGCAACATAGATAAGACATACAGATTTCATACCAGACAGCAATGGGAAGTTTGTGACTGTAAGGATATGAAAATATAAAAAATATATACCACAAATCTTTTTAAGTTTTTGAAAATCACTTAATTTCTCATGCAGTTAGTTTTTCTGTTATGGGGAAGAAATTGTACCCAGCTTACCCAAACACATAGGCTAAATGCCAGTGTGTCATGGCATAACTGTATATGGAGAACACTTCCTGAACACCAGTTCAATGCAATAAGGACATCATTTCAGACCAGAACCCTTCCTTTGCTTTCTTATTAACATGAACTGTGTTAACTGACAGAAGGAAAGCAGCCAATACTCTTATGAACTTGTTTTAAATCTACAAAAGGCAAATTTACCAACTGAAATAGTCAAACTGGTTTGCTTGCCTTCATCTGTGAAAGGCCTTGGACTCCTCCTTGTCTCTGATCCTTCTCAGTGTTAGTATTTTCTGTTTATCTTACTTCTTACTAATAAGTTTACAGCCAAATAGGCCTGTAATGTCTATAAGTTTTTCCTAATACTTGTCTGAATTTCTGTTTATACTGGCTTAAGCTATACTTAGTGTATAACCTCTATGTTTTAAAGCCTACAAAATTAGTTAAGTTTAGGCAGTAAATCAGTACTCCTTAAAAATTTGAAAGTCTGCAGAGTATTTACAGGATTTACAAAAGCAGATGGCAATACGGATACCTCTTTAAAAATGCACAATTTTTTATTTTTTTATAAGCCTTTAAGTATCAATCATATAAATACCACAATGAAGCTTTCTTCTTGCTCCAGTACCATCAGTAATTCCAGCATGCCTTGAGAATAGTTCTTTTCAGGAGAGCAAAGGTTTGAAGATCAGTGTTTCTTCTTTCAGAACACAGATAAGGAATTGCTGAATACTATAGTTGCCTCAAGAAAAATAGTACTATAGATGATGTCGTACTGCAGCTATATATATTGCATGTTATTGTGCCTTTCAGCTTAAAAGCGCAAACGTGGCATAATTCCCTGAGACAGTATCAGAGCACAAAAGAAAAATTTCTGAACAAAATCTTGGTCTGGCCAAAGACAGTAGCAGAATTCATTGCAGTGACGACTTTGCTCTTTGCAATTTTTGCTACAAATATCTTCTGTAATGAGTGTGTAAGCAGTAAAGAGGTCAATAGCTAGTTATACTATTATTAGTAGTTTTTTACACAAAGGATAATTTTTGACTGCTTAAATATACCATAATGCTTTGCACATATGACTGATACAGAAAACTGATACAAAAATTAATTTATAGTACTTAAATTGTTCTAAGTCTCCTCCTTACTGCGCCTTGTTTGTAAATTTTTTAGGTGTTTTGGGTTGAACCTGTTCGATTTTTCATGTGTAGCATTCAGTTTTTTCAGTCCATTTACTAATTGAAAATAGATAACTTATGAGTTGAAAAAGGACTAAAACATTAGTTTTAACAGTAAGTTATAGTGATAAGAGGATCAAAATTATTTTCTCAGAAACTTCCTAAAAACCAATAAAATCCCCATTGTCATACAGTGGGTGTTCATGAGACAGAACCAAATGTAATCTGGCTCCCAGTTTAAAAAAATTTTGTTGTTATTAGCTATTTGCTGGGTATTGGCATTGGAACAGGCAGCCCAGGGAGGTGGTGGTGTCACTGTCCCTGGAGGTGTTCAAAAGACATATAGATGTGGCACTTAGGGACATGATTTGGTGGTGGGCTTGGCAGTGTTAGGTTAACGGTTGGACCCGATGATCTTAAAGGTCTTTTCCAACCAAAATGATTCTATGATTCTATGATTCTGTCTTTATAAAATTCTACCCTCTTATCTTGAAGTGTTGCCCTTTACATTCACTAGACTAAAATTCTGTCCCCTCTTATGTCTATCCAAGTTTACTAGTCATGACTAGCAATAGCTATACAGACACCATGAGGCTGCTGTGTTTTCCAAACAAGATGTGAAAACACACATCATCTGAGCAATAGTGAAGAATGATGACCTCATAGTGAAGTGTCTGTCTATGAAATGCTTAAAAACGTATGTGTGATAGGGTATCTTGAAAGTCTAATTTTCCTTTAGTTGTTTATCGTATTTTAGATTGGCCTGATCTTTTGACTTAGTAAAGAAAAACCAAACAACCCAGGCCCAGATCCACCTAATATAAGATGAAATCGGTGATTGCAGCTCAGTCGTCAGTGAAGAGGGCTAGAACAGGGAGGGCTCTGCAGGCTGTCATTATCTTGTTGAATTTTTGCTGGAAAAGGTCCATTTAACACTGCAGTGAAATGCACTTAGGGCCGGGAAGCATGGAGTACTAACTGCAGAGCTGAACACCATTGTTGTGTCCATACAGCGCTGTGGCTGAGATACAGGGCTTACTAGTTTGAGGGATGCAGAACTCCTCTCCTTGCACTGCACTGGATATACAGCCTTATAGACCGGGTGTCAGCCGTGTGCTATGCCTACCCAGGGTACCTCTGAACCTTTTCCTGGTACTGCCCATCTCCCAGTTTTCACCATTTTCTGTTGAAGTTGAAGTTCTGTTGAAGAACACCTTGGTTGCTGTGTTGCCTGTCATGCCTGGGCCAGCCGCTGCCTCTGGTGCCCCCATCCCAGTGGGGACTCTGTCCCAGGGGCTTCGCCTGACTAGTGAGAAACAGTTGCTCCACAGTCTGTGTTAACCCCCTCTCACAGGGCCAGACTCAGGCAGGCGGCACAACCACACAGCTCAGCATGACAGCAGGTTTGTCACACATTTCTTTAGCATGGCAGTCATAAGCATCGCTCTGTGTACACTGACCGAACAGCATGCAGTAAGTCCAGCAACCCAGCAGTGTGGTTCCAAGCTCCCCTTTGCATACTTTAAATGTTTGCTATATGCTGTCATGCATTTTTAATAGTTATCTTTTATCATGTCTCTCTCATATGACTTTTAATCCATATGAAAAATGCTATTCATCTATTCAGTTCATGCTGATCCTTCCTCAGTCTATACATATTGCTCCATCCAGGTGATTTACGTAAAGTTTCATTAGTTCATTGATGGCATTGGAGACATCCTGCCCATTAATCAAGTATCTGTTCTTTAGCAACTCTTGCAATTTCAGGTACACAGCTACAGGAATTTTTCCTTATATTTTTCAGGGCTCTAATTTAGCCTGCATTCTGCTTTTTCCAAGTGCCACCATTATTTGGGGTACATAACATTTTGTGTGGTCCAGCATCCATAAGAATCTCCACTAATTGTCTCAGGAAAAAAAAAAAACAAAAAAAAAAAACAAGCAAAAACACCCAACCAACCAAAAAAACCCACGAAAAAACCTACCTGTAAAACTTCAGCATACTATTTTTTTGTGGCTTCATAGCACAAAATAAGTGTGTATTGTATTCTTTTCCCAACACTTTCCAACTCCATAGTCTTCAGCTCTTAAAAACTACCGTGGTGTAGATGAATAGTTCTCCGCCATCTTGTACTCAACTACTAGCAGAGAAAAGCAGTCCGTCTGGTACCACTGCCTCCTCCAAAATCTGACTGGTTGTTTACCAGAACACTAGAGTCTGGAGCCACCACGGATCACAGATCTCCACAGATCATAGCTACCAACAGAATGTGTCTCAAGTTTAGATTATGCAGCTGCAGTGATTATAGGACTGTATGGTTGAAGTTTCCTTCAAATCCCCAATGGCTGCTGTTTTCCAGATGTTTTAATTCTTAGTCCATGATGAGTTTTGCGAGTATAATCCTTGATTCTGAAGTACAATATAACATCTGCCACGTGGATTTATATTTTGAGCACATTTTCCTAATTTTTATATACTTCTGTTGGGCTGTTGGAGCTAAAATACATATTCTTAAAGGAGTAATAGAAGAAAGAGATTTCACATAGCACAACATCTAATGTGACTTCCTACATAGTTTGATATGCGGCAATCTCTAAGTGTGTTGCAGTTAGTATTTAATATAGAAGTCTCAACCAACAATCTGATGCCAGCTCTCACAGAGTCTCCATTATCACATTATACATATAGCTGAAGATTTTGGAAGCTATGCTGTGTTCCCCAAATAAATACACTTCTTAAATGCAATACATGTGGTTAGAAGGCCTTTAAATCATTTTTCCTCTTAAAATTATTTCTGTAGTGGAGATTGCGCTAGATTTAAGACTCCTGTGTTATTTTAACAAGGTTTTTGGCATTATGAAGTCAGTAACGTTGTAACAGTAAAAAGGATTTACAACTTGATCAGATCAGTGGGAGATGTTCACACTACCTACTTATGGCATGCAACTGAAGGCAGCTGCCTTTCTTCGCTGACTGTATCTACAGAAAGCTTCGATTCTCTGCTTTTGGTCCCCTGAATCACAGCAAAGCCTGATCGCTAGTAAGGCAAAAGTAAATGGTGTGAATTTTCTCTGAATTCTTCTCATGGTATTCTTACAGTTCCAAGTAGCAAGAACGCCTTTAAATGTTTATTTCTGAAGTCAAGAAGCAGTGTAAAATTGCCAATACAACTCAAACAAATAAGTAACAGTCCTTCTGTCTTTACAGTTAGAACCCAGAATCTCAACAATGGTTCCACTGTACTCTCTGAAGATGGCAAGAGATTATGAGATACGAGTCCGATCAAGACAACGCACCTCCGAAAAATTTGGAGAGTTCAGTGAAATCCTTTATGTATCTTTTTCTCAATTAGGCGCTGAATTTGTTCATTGTGCTGAAGGTAAATAAGCAGAGCGCAGCAAAGTGTTTTTATAACGATGTTGTCCTTTCGTCTTTTTGGTGGCGTTGGATTTTTTGCTCCTTACCATTGATTATCATTGTTGCACATTAAATAGTGATAATTCAGCCTACTACATAAAAATCGTTTGGTGAGATTGAGCATGTACAAGTTCCGTATACAATTAAGAAGTAAACTCAGCAAGACTGTTTCACAGCTCATCAGAGGACAAAAATACAGACAGATTTAAGAATCAGAATTAATAACTGCTGTTGCACACCTTATAGAGCCTAAAATAAAGTTAAATCTCATACTTCATCTTCTAAAATGAGCACTCTGGTAGTGGCAAGAAGGATTGTCAATTCTATTAAAGTGTTATACTGCTGGCTAAGTTTGTTACCAGAATGATGTGCTTTTCTGAACTGCCTGATATAGTGAGTGTTTTTCTGATTCTTGCTTCTGTCTTGTATTTGTTTTTAAAGTGCTGTTAAAGATAGAAAAAACCCCAGTCATTGAGCACCACATTTTTTCTATCAAAAGAATGGGACAGTGCCTTTTTCTAAAGCATTCCCAGGTCTGAGCTACTAAATTAACTCTTCAAAATATAAGTTCTTCAGCAAATTATTACAACAAGTTACTTCACTTCATTTTCCAAGGTATTTGTGATGGTGTTAAATGAAACCACCCATAACTCTTATCTTTCAAAATCTTTCTAGTTTCTACTTTTTAACTCTTTGTATTACTAGTTTTCTTTCCTAATTTATATGAACAGTTAATGTTCTGGACATGTGGCATTATTTTATTAACCCCAGCTGCATTAAGTGGTCGAAGGTTTTCATATGAAGAAAATGAAAATACTATGAAAATCTAAAGCCATCCTACCAGCCCAGTTTTCTTCAGTCACCACATCTCACACAGCAGCAGTGATATGATTTGATTGAGAATTTATTCTTGCTTTGTAGATCACCTTTAGGAACACAGAATTAAAATTTAAATTTTCTATGTATTAAAAATTTAAAGTAGTTAAATTCAATTTCAATATTATAACTTTTTGAAGTAGCTGGACATTTGCAAGTCACACTGACATGACAAGGAGTTACTGGTTCTCCATTAAAATAGGGACCTGTCTAACACAGACATACCCAGGTAGGATTTTACTCATGCCTGAATTCAGTCCAAAATCTAAGCTGGGAGCACAGGGCTAAAACTGATACTTGATTTTTTTTTTTTTCCTTCCCTGGAAGGACATGTGTTTATGTTCACATATAGAAGTCTAAAGCTTTCTGTCCAGTATTCCTTGGCTCAAAAAATGAGTGAAGTTTGTATGGAAAACTTAAAATTGGGAACAAATGAGAAGAATCACAGACTACAGCCAGAATAAATTTCTCTACTTTGTATTCTACAGTGTCAGCTTAAGTATAATGGAATTGCCAGTATTTAAAAAATAAAACATTTCATTTATCAGCATTGTTCTTCATTCCTACCAAACTGCACTTCTCAGTGATTTAAATTCTTTGTAGCCACTTGCAAGGTAAATAAAAGGGAGAAAAAATTTTTTTCAGTTGATGTTTCACAACATAATTAATGTTCAGCCTTTAGAAAGACTAGTAGTATGCTTTTTGACACCACTATATTTTAGTTTCTGTGAAACAATAGTTCGCCTATGATTTAGTATGCTATGAGTAACATTTCTCAACTTGGGCAAACCAGCAGTAACATGGTCTGCAGCATTATATGCCACCAAGGCTACTGGTAGTGTGTCCCAAGGAGGCAGAATGTTCCCCATGGTTGATTTTGCTACATATATTGTCTGTACTAAGATCTTGTTTATATTCAAAAACTCAGTCTGTTTTTGCAAGGAGTCTCAATGGACTCAAAAATGCAGTAGGGAAGCTATTGAGACCAAAAGGGTATTTTTATTTCTGCTTAACGTAGAACTTTCACAGTTAAGTAACCAAAAATTCTTCTGTTGGTTTTTACCACTTCAGAATCCTCAGGCAGTGGAAGAGAAGGTTGAAATTAAAGATGCCACAGAGATGCAGATTCCTGCTAACATGTTTTTGTTACGTTTTTTTTCAGAAATTGAGTTTCCATGGTTCTTAGTTGTTACCTTCGGAGCATGTGGGCTGGCTGTAACAGTGATCTTAATCCTGCTGTCTAAACAACCAAGGTAGAGAGTTTTTATTTGTTAGATTTCACGTACTTGTAGCTTAAAAAATAGGGTGCTTCAATTATTTCAAATCTGGGGGACTAGAAACTATTTTGAGGATTGCTGTACATTCTAATAAGGTACATGGGCGCTGGCATACGTATGTCCTGAGCCTTCAGCAGTGGGAATCTGATTATGTTGGCAGCTCCTGTTCCTGGATTGCAGAACATTTTATTCTACAGTATTTACGTAGTTAATTTACTTAGGCTTTGAAGGATACTGGGTTTTTTAGTACATTCAAATTTTGTAAATACCATTTTTACCCACATACTGTTCAGAAGTTTCACACAAACATACATCTATATATTCAGTTTTGTTCTTAGACTATTCCACTAATCTCTGACTATTTCTTCATTGAGCCAAGGGAAAAAGCTTGAGTCATACTGGGGTATTTGTTCTCTGTGGATACACTGCAGCTCTTATAAATAACAGGAATAAAATAAAACAAGACAGAATTGTGTCATTTGTAAAAATTATAAAATTATGTCATTTATAAAAAGAAACAATGACACATATAAAAAATGACAAAATGGTCTCAAAGTGAATTCATCCCCTAATACGTATGTTCAGGGATAAGGTTTGGCAGAATAATTCAGCTTGGATGTCATACCAGTACTGTCCTAGACTATGGAGCAACACCACGGTCAACTCCCAATCCACACATGCATGTTGTCAGTGATCTTGTCTATACACTTTGAAAATGAACACTGAGGTGATTTGCACATACCAGCATAAGGTCAAGTCATTGAAATTAAAACAATACGATGCAGTTGGAGCACCTCTGAAAAAATAATTAAGACAAGCAGCACTACACTTTGCAGAGCTTAATTTCAGGAAGCCACTCCCTACAATAGCTTGCTGGTCCCAGAGTTAAGAGCAAGGCTCCTGACACAATGCATGACAAAAACTTGATCTGTCAGAATGGGGCACAAACAACTCACACATGGGACCACGAGCTCATCAAGGTCAGCACACTGAGCAAGGATTGTCTTGGTCACAGAAGATCCTGAGGGCCAAAGCATGTCTCTGGTCACAGCTCACAGTTAATACATCTTCCACAATAATCATGACTGCAGGAGGAGGCTTTTCTCCACTGAGGGCCCTTCATCTGGAAAGTTTTTCTGGACCTGTGGGCCTGCACCCTTTCCTTTAAACTGGTGCACGCGGTGGTGGGAGTGGCAATGTATTCTGCAGAGGAGCAGGCTCCATAGATTTCCCTTGATGACAGGCTCAGTTTCCTCCTATACCTGAAAAGAGACCAATTCATATTTTCCTCAATTCTGATCTCACAAGATCTGAACCAGGCTCCCTAGGACAGATACCATAGAGTTAGGCCATATGCTTTCAGAGCTGAGACATGCAGGCTTGAATTGCACGAGACTAAGTAAGGAGCAGAGCGTAAATCTCTTTCCTGAATGATTTTTCCAGACAGCAAGTGGTAAAATCCTTTGTCTGTTTTGTTAGAAGCAGCACCCAGTCCTGTGAGAATAGCTGATTTGTGGATTCAACTGTAAGTGCAAGTCTTAAACTGGTACCCTGAGAGACCAGCCAGCGCACAGCTAACATAGCCCCTCCAGGGATTAGGTGGAAAATTACTGGATTTCTGGCTCTCATTGAGGCTTGCTAGGCAGAACTGTGAGGGTCTGCCAAAAACAAAAACAGCTGAGGAATTTGGCCCCTCCATAGTTAAAGCAGAAGGTGCCTAAATTTCTCTCTAGCACTCCTTAAGACTCCTCTGATCCTCTCTGGACCTCAGCAAGGTCACTAACAATGCAGCAAAACTAATGTTTGGATTTGGATCTACCATTCTGACAGCTTACTTTCTAAAACAGGCAAGTAACTCAGTATAAAGAGAATGTTGAATTTTCCAAACTACAGTTTATCTGTTTGCAAAAGAAGCAGGGAGGTAAAAGGATGACCTGCTGTTGTTGGATTGTTATTAATGGAAAAGCATCATTCTGTTTGGGTTCTCTCTATTTTTTTTTTGTCCCCTTAGAGAATTAGCAATTCGCCTTATGGAGGATTAGAATAATACATATTTCCCCAGTATATATATGCATAAGCAAGTTAATAGTCCTTTCTCTGCAAGAGTAAAACGCTGTCACTATGTATTACTTGTTATGTCAATAATTCAGAAAACAGAAGTGTCATAGAGATGGCAAAATACTAGCCTAAATTTTTGCAGTTGTGTTTCTGTTTTATGTATGAGTTCTAAAGTAATTCACTCTTTTCATCAACTCCCTTCTTCTATTTCCCTATTTAAATTTATTTGGTTTATGCAGGACTACTATGTCCCTGAAAAAAGAATAAATTGGGAAAGGCACTCCACACATTAAGGCTTGTATCAGGTTCCCTTGAAAATTATGTAAAAAGGGAAAATATTGACAGGATAATTTACTCTCTTTCTGTAGAGCATTAATTTATCAAAGATAAATTAACTCCAAAATAGATTCCCACATAAATGTATGTGATCTCAACAAGGAAGGTTGCAGAAAACTTGGGGGTTTTATTAGCAATGAGAGAAAACAATCATTCTTTTCCTTAGGACTATTTGAAATTGAATCTTCAAACATTTCAGTTTTGAAGTAATTAAGTATAAATGCAGTGTAAGGCCCTCTTCTTTCTAACTTCCTCAAAAAGGACCACTGTCAATTAAAAGCCATTATTTATTTTTTCCAGGTTAAAAATGCTGATTTTTCCTCCTGTGCCAGTTCCAAGGATTAAAGGGATTGACCCAGATCTCTTGAAGGTAATATTGTGCTCTAAAATCTATGGTGGGAATCGTTATAGTAGTAGCAAGTGACAATTGTCCCAGGCAGAAAACTTTTGTAGGAGAAAATGATGACATGGGGGGAGTGGCCACAGAATTAGTTTTCATAAAATAATTTTTAAAACCCTTGGAACTCTTAACATCAGCTACAGTTACTTTTCCTTAAGCTGACATCACAAAAAGCACAAGCATTTTTATTATTTGCTTTATACATTCATTTTTCCTTGCTTTATAGAAAGGAAAGCTAGATGAAGTGAACTCCATCTTAGCCAGCCATGACAGCTACAAGACACAGCTATACAATGATGACTTGTGGGTTGAGTTTATTGAGTTGGACATAGAAGACCCTGATGAAAAGAACAGAGTCTCAGATACCAACAGGCTCCTGAGTGAAGATCATCTGAAATCACACAGTTGCTTGGGAGCAAAGGATGACGATTCTGGACGGGCCAGTTGTTGTGAACCAGATATTCCAGAGACAGACTTCAGTGCGAGCGACACATGTGATGCCATCTCTGATATTGATCAGTTCAAAAAGGTAACTGAAAAAGAAGAGGATCTCTTGTGCCTTGATAGAAAAGATGAGTCACTTCCAAGCCTTGCCAACACAGATCCCCAACAGCTGCATGTGAGTACCCAGTCCGAAAATAGCCAGCCATGGCCACCTTTTGCAGACGGCATTGGCTCAGCTAATCCATCAGTCCATACCCAGCTAAGTAACCAGAATTCATTGACAAATACTGACTTCTATGCGCAAGTGAGTGATATTACTCCGGCAGGCAGTGTTGTACTTTCACCAGGGCAGAAGTCCAAGTTAGGGAGAACACAGTGTGAAGGGTGCACAGAACAAAACTTCACCATGGACAATGCCTACTTCTGTGAGGCAGATGTGAAAAAATGTATTGCTGTGACTTCCCACGAAGAGGATGAGCCGCATGTTCAGGAGCAAAGCTGTAACGAGGATGCTTACTTCACCACAGAGAGCCTTACCACTACCGGTGTCAATCTTGGAGCTTCAACAGCAGAAACCCCAAGTTCAGAGATGCCTGTCCCAGACTATACGTCTATTCATATCGTCCACTCTCCACAAGGCCTTGTACTCAATGCAACTGCACTGCCTGTGCCAGACAAGGAATTCAACGTGTCTTGTGGCTATGTGAGCACAGACCAGCTGAACAAAATCCTGCCGTAGCTCTTCTTTGACTAGGTGTGCGCAGTATTTCACAGCAGAGAGTCAGCTCAGGCTTGTATGCTGAAACCAAAATGAAGTCTAAAAGTTTCTCATGGTTCTTATAACTTTATCTGAAATGTTGAAACATAAAATATTCATCAAAATATTCCTATTGTGTTCTGTAAATATTATCTATGAATTTGTCTTGAGACTTTTACTAGCAGTGACTGTCTTGTTCTTGTGGGTGTTGATTTTTGTGATACTAAACATTGAAATTACTATGTTTAATGTGCAGTAAATCATGCATTTTGATAAAGCTAAATATCAGGTGGTTTAGAGTCGAAGAATTTAGTAAAAACCGTGCTGTTGGCAGAGATCTTTATATCAATAATTGAGAATTGAACATATAAGTGAAAAAACAAAAGTAGAGTGAATAAATAACACATCTATTTTGATTTAAATAAATTAATAAAATATATTTTCATATTTTAGTCATAAAAACATAAACATTTTCTATTACACTACACACTGTAGTTCAATTATGGTGACCCATCTAAGGAATGTAATTGCTGCTATCTTAAAAAGGAGTTTTCTGGTTTATAAAAGTTTTGTTTGCAGCAAAAAGAAAAAATAGATTTTTACAGAGCCATTTTATACCTCCAAAGAAACCTGTATAAAAATTTTGAAATACTGTAGAAATTTAAAGTGACTGATTCTATTACTTTCTAACAGTAACTAATATGGAAATATACATTAAATCCAAAGTTTTATAGAAAACTTCATACAAAATATTTGGGCAAATTTTTCTGTTCTTCATCAGGTTCTGGTTAATGCTAATAATACAGTTTTTTATAAGAAAAATTTTGTTGACCACAGTATTAAACAGTGTGCAAATATACTTTCACTGAAAATTTTTAAGAATGCATGAATAAGCTCTGGTGATTTAGCAGCATAATCTCTTCACGTTTGACCGACTTCTGAAGCCTTCCTACAGCCAAAGGAATCATCGCTACATTTACTAGTTTGCGCCACATAAAGTCTTGATTAAAAAAATAAAATCAGGACTTCAGGAGTTAGCCAGCAGTTCATTTTTAAAGATATTAGGGGATTAAAAGACTTCAGTGGAACAAGGGAATTGAATACAGTATTGTTCAAAAGCGTTTCTCGTTTTTGCAGCCTAACAGCATCTCCTGTGACCGCGTTAGGCAGACTTTCAGAAGGAGAGAAAACTGAAAGTCAGTGGGAAAAATCTCTTTGTTCTTACATACACTGATAACTTGACGGAGCTTTACAATTAACTGTCACTGCTTCAGGAGTTACCTTCCTAGGCCATGGTTTCATCATAGCAGGGCTCTTCTTAGAAAGCAAATAGGGACACTCATTTCTTTTCTCCGACCTGAACAGAAGTGTATGAAGTGCAGTGAATGCAGGTCTTGCTCCTGATGTCTCCCACTGACTGACTGATGCTCTTTTTGTGACCAAGGGCTACAGGACTGGGCCCAACTATTGGGTGAGATTTTTAAGTTTAGCACGTACTTTATGGTAAATGTGCATTAGATATTCTGCTAATTTGCTGCTATATTTTTCTAACAGCTACATTATTTAGTTTCATATAAAATTTCATAGATGATAGACACTAATGCAAGTAATGCCTAAGTGTGTGTTTGGAAGAAGTTTCTTACTCTGTTTCTATTGCCAAAAATAGTTAAATACCTCAATCAAACTCAGAATGTCGTTTTGGTACTTTACTGGTCACACATGCCGTTATACACCGGTCAGAAGATGTGTCTTTCAGTTTCTATTTAACTTCCCTTATGTCAGTGTTTTGTTTGTTTTTCTCAAAGTTTAATAAATGTATTGTCTTCGATCTGTCCTGACACAATGTGTTTTATTGCAGATACTTAATTTTTTTGTGGAAAATAGAGATTTTATTAGGAGAAGTCAAGTACTTCTCATTGAATAAAGTAGAATGTAGCTTTCCTCAGAATAGAAGCAATGCCTAATGAGATCAGTGTTTTCACTGATTGGTATGTATATAGTTAAAAATAGAAGCACGAACCTAAATTTGTAAATGGAGATAGGACATGCTGTACTGAGTACTGGCCAAGACATGTTACTAATTTAGCAGACCAGTTTACCTTTGGCTGGAACAGCCTGTGGTTGCAAATAAATAAGCTGCAGTAGTTGAAGATTTACACCTACAGTTGAATCCTCAAGTCAGGTATTCTGATGCAGCTCCATAGTTACTTGCAGTGACAGTTAAAACCTGGCAGTATATGAACTCTGAAATGTCAGATAGTCTGTCTCTGTGGAAAATGCCATATCTGGAATGTGTAACTTAGTAGTTACTACTGCCTCTCTTCTCTCTCTGGAGATAGGGAGGGAGCTGTTGGAGGAATCCAACTAGACATTCCCTTTCCTCCCAAGGGAATCAGAGTGGGATTCAGTTCCTCTACATAGACGTACAGTGCCATTTGAGGTATGTAATCAGGCTTCCAGGTGCTGGTCCAGAACAGCACAGGTCTTGTGTAGATTCTGTCTTATCTAAAAGCCTGAATGATGGTAGATGCCCATGTTTTGAGAGTTGAATTGATCCCCAGTGGTCGAAAACAGCTCCAGGAATGTAACTATCTTTGTGTGAGGTAGGTCTAAGATACCATTATAGTTAATAGTCTAAAGAGCTACTTAGCTGACCAGATATAGTGTCTGCTTTAGGTAAGCTGATTAGGGCTCTCCACTTTTCAGACTAGAATGGGAGCATGGACATCTTGCTAACATTTGGACACCAAATATATTGTTAATTAAGGTGTCTTGATGTTGATGTGAATTTCACCTTAGCTAAACTGTTGGACAATGTAAGCCAGAGAGGGTCATTGGTGTCTCTTACAGTTTATGTGTAAACAACTTAATCTGTAGAACTCAGTGCTAATGAACTGTCATGATGAGTAAATATGCTTGTTTATACCTCCTGCTTGAAAAACTAAGCTTCAGAAGACTTATGCCTGGAGGATTCACAGCTGCACTTTAAGAAAAGGCAGTAAAGAAAGTGGTTCTCTGCTGTCATATGGGGAACTCCAGCTCCCATTACTCTCATCTGTGCTAGTTCCAGTGCTGTCTGCCAGTGCCCTTCCATAAGCTGATCCAATTTTCTGAAACCTGAGAAAATCGTGAAAGCAGAGTATTAGAAGTTACCTTATGTTGATTAATGAGTTAAATTGATTGAGCAAAGTCTGGGATGAGCACCAGGGAAGACAGACAGGACCACATGGCCAAAAGCAAAGGAGGGAAGAGCTAGAGTGATCTTCCCAAGAGTATTTTCCTTGCAAAAACAGCTCCCTCATGCAGCCAAGAAACAGGAGAAATACACAGCTCAAGGTAGGTGTGGGTTGCAGAGACATAATGTAACGACCTCTTTTGGAGGTAACTATCACCTAGGTCAGCTTAAACGAACTGTGAAAAGCCAGCTTGAGCTCCTTCCCACCTCCAGCAGCACTGCAGCTCAAGTAATGGCACGCCTAATGACCGCTGCCTTTGTACAGCTCACGTGGGTGTTTAGAAGAGAAATCCAACTGTCAGATCTGCAAACTTTATGTTTTATACTGGCAATCCACTGTTTTCCTACAGAACACAGCAACCTATTATTTAAAGATACGACGCACTTGCCAGATACAGAAAAGCTGGTATTAGATGATTGTAAAGCAACCTCTTTATTTACTTTCACCTTTTCTTTGAAGTGGAGGAAAACATATCTGTGCTGTTCAGAAAGAGCCTCTCGACCAGTAATTTTTTTCTCTTCTCGCTTAATGCTACGTATTGTCCCAATGCCAGAAATGAGTCAATGTAAAAGTGACAGAATTCATTATTTTAGAAATGTCTACTAAAATTGTACTTTCCAAGTTTAATCAATGGCTAAAATGTACAAGGTGAAAAGAAACAGACATCACAGATGAACACTAAGCAAGGAGTATTTTGGTGGTAAGCCCAGTAACTTTTACTGCATTAAAGCTTTTGGCATGTAAACTGGCCACACCTGTTCCAATTGTTGGAGTGACATTTTACTCATATATCACCTGGCAGAGGCTAGTCTATATGAATATCTGTATTCAGAAACCATGCTGGTTCTCAAAAACAAGGATGAGTCACGTTGTTCTTCTGGCTGCTGATTGGTATCATCAAGAAGCACACCTCGGTTTGGAAGAGTTTGGTTTTGAGCCTCTTTCATCTGTCAAAGACGATGTGCATTTCCAAGGCTTTAAGTTACTGTTACAAGAGACTGAAACAGCACCATCTATACCAGTTTCTGCTAAGATAAGAAATAATTTTGGCAAACATAGTGATTTGCACTTCTGCTCTTCAAGTTGAAATATTTTTCCTGACTTCTGATACAGGAGGTGAGATCAGCAGATTATGAAAGCTGTTTGCTCTTTCTGAATGAAAATTAACATTCTCAAAGGTATGTTTTTTATTTCAAAATAGTAGGAGTATTAAAGAAGAGTGTTCTGTAGACTTGCCATGTTTTTAGAAATGCTTCAAGTTAATGATGGTCATGTACGTTGGGAGCACTACTGTCATTAACGGCTTTAGTATATACTACTACATATGCATCGACACCATTGTAAGGATGGGAAATAATGCTCTGATTCAAAGAGAAACTTAAAACCATCTGACGTGTATCCACAGGCAACCTTTTTTCCAGCACTGACATATGCTGTCTCAGGGGCTCATTACCAGACAACCTACAAAGAGGAGTGCCTGACTCAGCTTGCCTGATTTGAGAGGAAAATGGAGGAAAGGTTTAGAGCATGTTGTTATTTCTATTAAAGAAGCAATGAAAACTTGGGGGACAGCCAAAGAGGCAAACAGTACAGAATATTACTCTTTCATTACCCATTTTTCAGTTCTAATTCAGAATACCCTCATTCACCAAGACGGTGGAATTAGTAAGAATTAACCACCCTTTACAGCCAATTGACTTCGAGGAGATACTAATGGATGTATTTCTCTCTTGGAACTCCCTCTGTTTAAATGTAGATTTACAGTACAAATTCTTCCTTCTGACTCACCATTATTAATTGCACACACAGTCAGTGCTTTAACCACTGTAGAAACCATGCCCTTAGGCCACACAGAAGCAAGATGTAGCCCAAATCCATTTCCATGATTTCTATATTACTTAAACGCTCTGGCACAACTGTATTAAGCAAGCATTTCCTCACCTTCTCTAATCAGGGCTCCTAGAGAGAGTAGGGGACATTCAGAAACAGACAGAAGAAAAGAGAAACAGTTAACAGTGATGTTGGAGAGAACCAGGTGTGGTGAAGCAGATGCCAGGAGTCAGCAAAGGGCAGGGTAATCAGCTGTAGGTGGAGCTGTAGGAGTGGTGTCGATGACAACTGTAGTCAGTAGTTGTAATGAAAAGCAGATGCAGCTATTAAAGTCGATGCACCTAATAAACTGACACTAATGTTTGACAGGTTTAATTTTTTTTGCTACA